AGTTGGTTAAGAGCTCGCTCAAGAGCTTGAGCTCTGAGCAACAGCGGTTCGAGTCCCGGCCCGAGCTGAGCTGCCGCTGAGCTGCCAACAGGTGGCAGGATGGCTCAGCTAAAAAAAAAAAGTGAGTTATTTTAAATAATTGGCTCACGCAATTGTAGGGCTGAGAACGTGTAGGGCAGGCCTGCAGTCTGGAAACTCGAATTGATGCTGCACTCTTGAAGCAGAATTTCTTGTCTGGGAAACCTCAGATTTTGCTCTTAGAGCCTTCAACTGATTGGATGAAGCCCACTCACACCATGGGTGGGGTGAGCTCCTTTACTTAAAGTCAGCTGATTGTAGATGTTACTCACATCTGTAAAGCACCTCCACAGCAACACCTCGATTCGTGTTTGATTAAGTAACTGGATACTGTAGCCTAGCCGAGTTGACCCATAAGACTGACTGTCACAGATGGGCGTCTGCCAAACTCTAGGTTTCTCTCTGAGTGTGAGATCCAGTTCTTCAAGCTCAGCATTCACTCGATCTCAGCCTGCCCTGTACTCGTGGAAGTTCACAGACACCCTCTCTGCATTTAAGAGAAACTCCCTCTCCACCTCACAGCAGACAGACGTTCTTCATCCTTTTTTTAAAAAAATATTTTATTGGGGAATTGGGGGAGGGGAACAACATTGGAGAATCAGGGAAGGGGAATAGACAAGTTGCTGTCCTTTTGTTCTTCAGTCTAGTTGTAGAGGGCGCAGCATCACTGGCCCTCATGTGGGATCCGAACCTGGGCCCTGCTGCTCAGAGCTGGCATCCCAAGCCAGTTCTTAACCAACGTGCCACTCGGCAAGCTCCGTTCTTCATCTTTAAGCACCAATTTGCTGTCAAGGATGGCCTAGAAAATCCAAAGCTCTGACCTAAAACTCTTCTAAAGGCCTCCATTTTTCATAAGTTTTACTGTTAAATAGTTTGTACTTTTGGTCTAATCAACACGGTGCCTTTTGTATGCTCTCATCTCTAAGAACCTGCAATAATAGCCTATGGTAGTTTCATTTTGGGTATGGACTTTTTAAAAAAACTTTTTTTTAGTGTGTGAGATTTTTTTCTGATCTGTGAAGTGACTTTCACTGAAGCGTTGTAACGTGAGGCAATTGTTTGCAAATGGCATAAAGAGAGGAACAGCCCCTGATACAAACCGAGAGAATGACTGGGCTTCCTATGGTGTCAGCGTTCAGGGTGCTCCCTTAGCCTGGTGCCTGGATTGTCTGGAAGAGGAGGTCAGAAAAGATAGCTGCTCCCCGAGTCAGGAAATTCACCATCACTCGGCTCCTGAAACATGTTACTCTAGATCCCGTCCATGATTTACAAAGCTGAATTATAAACCGTCAGGTACGCACTATGTATAGTGTTTCTACCAGTCCGTCCAGTGGCATGTCTGAAAATAATGGTCACCTTTCCAAACGAATTACAATCAGGATGTAATAATTGCAAGTTAACAAGGAGGGAAATTGCTGCCAGAAATTAAATACCTCGTTTTTGAAATGAAGGTTCTGTGCATAAGAGACATTTTTTAACAGCTTTATTGAGGTGTAAATTTACATACTATAAAATTCATTGTAAGAGTATAGTTTGATGAATTTTAGTAAATTTAAACAGTTATGCAGCCATCATCACAGTCCAATTTTAGAACATTTTTGTCACCCTGAAAATTTCTATCCTGTCCACTGACAGTCACTCTGCCCTCCTACCCCCAGGCCCAGGGAAGCACTGATCTGCTTTATGTCTTCACAATATGGCCTTTTCTAGAAATCCCATATAAATGAATTGTACAATAGTTTTTTGTGTCTGGCGTCTTTCACTTTTGAGTTTCATCCATCTTTTAACACATATCAGTAGTTTGTTGCTTTTTATCGCTGAGCCGTATTCCATGGTATGGATGTAGCCCATTTTTGCTTTTCCATTCCCCAGGTGATGGACATTTGGGTTGTGTCCAGTTTTGAGCTATTAATATTATGAATAATGCTGCTCTGAACGTACATGTGCAACTCTCTGTGTGGACATATGTTTGCGTTTCTCTTTAAGTCAAGTTTTCACCGCAGGGTGTTGGTGGCATTGTGAACTTTTCATACAGCTAAAGCGTGAGAGTGAGAGCGAGTGTTGACTCCACAAGTTGCTCCCCAGCACTTCTGGCCTCTACACACCCTGCTAGGCTCTGACACCCAAGCCCTCACCAGTCCAAATCCCTTCTCTCCAGGAGCCCCGAGCGAGCGCTGGGCCTCCCGTGGGGAGGCAGCCTCAGGCCCTGCTAAGCTGTCTAGATATCTAGTCCATCTCAACCAGGAGGAACTTCATCTTTTGCATGAGTGCCAATTTAGGGTAAAAGAAAGGTTCGATGGTTGGCTTTAAAAAAAAACAAACTTTATCTTTCTTTTAAGAATAAAGTGTCTGCAACTGTGCGTAAGCATAAGCATTCTTTTATCATTTCTCTGTCACCGAAAGGCTTATTTTCTTTGACTAAAATTTCAGAAACTGCGTAACCACCAATATCTGATTGTAATTGGGCACCTTAGATCGGATTTCAGGAGCCTAGTCCATGCTGTTTTTCCCTTGACTGCCTTGTAAGCCACTCAGCTGCAAACTGTAACTGGTCTCCCGGTGCCTCCTAATGACGGCCGTCTTGTTCGGAGTGCCTTTCCCTTGCGCATGAGATAAATGGAGAGGGGCCGGCCTCGCCCCACTGACATGGAAGCACCATGCTCAGCAGCCACTTGCCTCTTCCTGAAGAAGAGCAATGTTATGTTATTTTATATTCCTGAAAGTTTATTTTAAAAGCCACTCTCCTTGGCTCCCTCTGTCCTCGTGGGGGAAAGGCATTCCCAGGAGAGGGATTGGATGAGCTGAGCATTCGTGTAACAAGCAGAGCGCAGGTGCCGGGCATAGGCGAGCAGCCCAGAAGGCAGGCTGTGGCCAGGGCCTGGGCCACCGGAAGTGGAAGGAAGGGCGTTGGGGGAAGGGAATGGCGGCACGTGGGCCAGTTTATCTTGTGTAGCGTAGTGCTGCATGTGGAGTTGGGTCTTACGCAGGGGTTGGGTTCTGAAGTTAACATGTCAGCGTCATCTGTAATCACAATTTCCCTTGAAAGTTTCCTACATTGCCCTTGAGTACACATGATTTTGTGCATATAACCCATACAGTAAGTTACATGTTTAAATGTTCACTATATAGAGTAATGTATATAATAGAAATGACAAAAATGTTATAAGCTATACATACACGTTTGTGCAAAATAACATTTTATAGCGCACTTTTAACTACACAGGCAAAATATAGGTGCACATAGGTGGACTCATGGATGTTACGGACAGGTGTGATGCTGTGCTATTGCACTCTGAGCTGGGCTTTTGGAGGATTTCTCCACTGGAAGGGGTGGGAATAACTGGGGAGCTGTTCAAGACAGGGAGGCCAGTGGCAGAGTCTGAATTGAAAGGAAAACATGGATTGGTCCTCAGTGGCAAAACCCAGCATTTGTACCTAGGGGACTGCCATTGGCTCTCAGCGAGGATTTGTCTATAAGCTGCCTTTGCTTACACTTAGTATTTGGAGTGGTGGGCGGACCGATGGAGACCGTTACGGAGTCAGGGGGAGGTAAATCCCGACTTCAGTTACTCCTGGCACTGACCCTGGCCGTCCTCCATACCTGTGTGTATCAGGGGCTGCCTCCACCTCTTTCTACTTCCTTATATTTTTTAAGTGAGCAAGGAGAGTTGCTGTTTGCTTGTCTCTGTCAAGAGTTACAAGATCCCTGAGAATCGGCTCACTCCATGTGTTAAGCTGCTTTCTTTCCCTTTCTACTAGGCCGTTAAAGATACAGCAACATCCAGAGTCATGCTGTTTGGGACCTCAGCTTTGATTCCTGAAGTCTTCTCATACTTTTTTAAAAGGTAGGATGTATGCTCATCTCCCCAGGTAGGAATACATATTTTGACAGTCAAAATCCTTATAAAACTTGTCAAATACCGATCTGGTGGGAGGGATGGGAAGAAGTTGCTTCAGTGGTCTTCCTGCTAAACCCTCTTCATCACAGTAAGACGGTAGGGTCGATTTGGGGCAGCATGGAAACCCAGATGTCTGCATGCCAACAAGCCCGGAATCTAGCCCGGGCCTGTCCTTGGTTAGCCATATGTTCTCAGGCATGTCCCCTGCCGGGGCATGTTTCTTCATTTCTAGAATGATGGTATCAAATGAGCAAATACACGCGACATGCTTAACCCCGGGCCTGAGGCTACTGAGTAAGATAACTAGCCGCCATTAGAGCAGAGGGCCAGCCTCTAAAACAAGCCCTGTAACCTCGTCTCTTCAGGACCCAGTTATTCCTGCGATATCCATGGTCATTGTGGACCCTGAAACTGTCTTGTACTATCCTTGCCATGGGACTGATGGTGCCAGTGTCTTTCAGTATATTCCCGCAAATTGGACGGGTGAGTGAAATTTATTCTCCCTCTAAAAAATCTGCAAAGTTTATACTTTTGTAAAGAAAATAACATCATTTACACAGAATCCCATCTCCCAGATCACTTGTGCGGTTTTGGATTCTGTTTTACTTAATGGTATAGCAGAAGCATTTTTCTAGGACTTCAAAACCAACCAACCTTTGAGCTATTTTAAGTACTCCATAATATTCTATATCAATGCCCATTCAGTGACACTTTCTGCATTGATGTAAATGTCCTGTATCTGTGGTGTCCAGTACAGTAGCCACTAGCCACAGGTGGCTGTTTAGCACTTGAAATGTGGCCAGTGTGACTGAGGCACTGAATTTAACATTTATTTTAAAGTACTGCCATGGGGCTGCTGGACTGGACAGCATGATTGTATCGCCTAGGACATGTTATAACTCATGGTGACTCAGCCTGCCCGGACTCAAGTGCTCAGCTCCTCTGTGACCAACCTGCTTAAACTCCCTCTGCAGACTCAGTTTCCAAGTCTGTTAGAGAGAGATGGGGATAAAGAGAGAGATGGGGATAACAGTAACTCGCAAAGGGCTGTTGCTGGTGCCAAGGGCATTGTTGGTGCTAGCGGACATTAGCAGTTTATGGCATTTCTTGGCTGAATATTTCAAATGCTTGGTTCCGTCACTGAATTTAAAAATCAAGTCATGTCCTGGCCTTTTGAGCTTCCTTTGCTCGGCCTGCTCCAAACTCTTTGGCGTGTGCTTTCTTTTCTAATAATGGCCCTTGAGCCATTCTCTACTTTTTCTCTACTGCTCGGGCCCGCTTCTGCTTCTTTGAAATGTATTTTTACTTCCCATAAACTCCTTTTCTGTGACTTTAAAAATAAAAAAAAATCAGTCATGTCCTCGAGCATTTATATTTAGGGGATGATCTTGTTCCAAACCCAAATCCTCTACGTTTAGGTTTATAGAATTGTTAATTCAGGCAACTTTGCCAGCACATAACATAGAAGTTTTAAATTATTGAAGATAGCTGCTATCCTATTCTTACTATGAGGGAAGCGAGGGGTGCGGAGCTAGTGGGGTAGCTTCTCATTAAAACAACATTTTAGAACAAAATAGTCTTCATTCTCACAGGCCCCCCTATTAGAACACATTTTGTTACAAGATTGCAATAAAAGTGAACCCTTTTGCAAATAATTACTTCTGACTGCATTGGTGCTCATATGGAACCAATAGCTTATTTGAAGGTTAGGTCGTTTACAGAAGTCTTTAAATCTTGTCAGTATGGCAGATTGTGAATCGTTAAAGCTGAGTGATGCATACAGGAGGGTTCATTATATTCTTTCTGCATTTGCTTATATTTGAAATTTTTCCTAAGAATGTTTTTAAGAAGTTAATGTTTTATGCTGTAGATTAGACATCACTGAAAAAGTTGGACTGTGAAATAAATGTTCTCTGAAAATGTATTTTTTTTAAAACTTGGCTTCTAAGGCAAGTTCTTAATATGCATACTAAGAATTGAACTTTGTTTTTCAGATACAGTGCAGTACGCTTGAAAAGGAAATTCAGTCCGCCACAGAAGAAACAGAACTCTTCTATAACAGAGGGGTGTAGGGGTGAGTTTTAGGTGAATTTATTTGGTTCCTGCTTGAAAACCTTCATCTCAAGGTTTCAGTTTCGAGAACTCTGCCAGAGGTCTCCTGGAAACCCCAGAGGTATCTGCGCAGACAGGATGGCTTACAGTCACACATGCCAAGACCTTGTCAAGGCCGGTCATGCCTGGGGTTTTTAAGCCTGGAGAGAAATGGGAGGCTGTCCTGCCTGACCCACCCCCACGGGGCTGCTGAGGGGATGGATGGGTGATGTAAGATTCAGTTTTCTCTTCGTTCATCAGCCTGTGAAAGGATACTGTGAAATTATTAATAAACTTGTCTAAAGTTGAGTATTTGAAGAAATGAAGGGTCCATCAAGTCCAGGGCACAGGCATTAAATTGATGACCCGTCCCAAGGTAGATGTGAACCTCTGGTGAGCTGTTGAAGGCCTCTGGCCCCCAAAGCAGTCCTGTTTCCCTGCTCAGCTCACTCCCATTTTGGAGAACTACTTAACTCTTTGCCACCCACCACTGAGCTTTCTCCTCCCTGGCAAACAACGCTGCCTTCTCCTTCACGGTGAAAACCAAGGCCAGTGGCCAGCCGTGGAAGCTCCTGACCCCGAATCTGCAGACCTGCCTCTCTCCTCACCCAGCCCTCCCTCCTCCATGAAGGGTCAGCGGGGCTCCAGGCTCTGGACCTGTCCTTTCTCATGTCCTCAGGGCCCTGCCTCCAGCCTCCTCTGCCTGCTCCTTCCCAGGAGCCTTTAACCCTCCGCCGGGCGCAGCTGATCTCACAGATTCATTGCACACAAATTTTCGAATATCTAACAGTTAATGTAAGTATCGTGACTCATCACTTTCCTCTACCGTAACCTATCGCCAGTCGTGTTGGTGACTTAGTACAGTGAAAGTGTATTTCATACCTGAAATTTTGTGTGCAATGAATCTGTGAGATCAGTTGCACCCGATGGAGTGTTAAGCTGCTTCAGTCACCTGCCTCATTAAAAAAGCACGTACACACACACACACACACACCCCACGCCCCACCCCCTACCTCTCGCCCTGTTGATAGCCAAACTTTTCCAAAGATTGTCTCCCTCACTGTTTCCACCCCACTTCCACTCTTCTGAGACTGCACCCAGCCATGCCCCCAACGCTGTACCGCCTCTGCTGGCTGCTCGGACCAGTCACTGGGCTTGCTCTCCCAGAGCAGTAGGCCCACACCAGCTAACCCCTGCACTTTGCCATTTGGAGGTACACTTGAGGCCTCCCAATCTCAGGAAATACACACTTGCGTCAGATAGGATCGCTGGTGACACCCCTACTCCGCCCTCCCCCCAACCCCATTCAGCAGACCGCGCCCAGTAGCCATCTCTAGAACTCACTCCATGGCCACTGTGACTGCCCAGCTCAGTCCAACAGCGCCCCCTGCTGGTATTCCTCGTAGTATCAGTCTGGCTCCCTCCCATCCATGCTCCAACCTGCTCTTCTAACCCACACCTGCTTAAAAGCCTTAAATAGCTCCCGGTGCACTGGGGTCAAGTACAGATTCCTTGCCGTGCTGGCAAGAGCTTTTGCCTTACTCATCCCTTGCCACTCCCTTTCACTCTGGACCAATATCCAGTCCTAATGGGCTGTGGTCTCCCTGCTCTGGGCCAACTCTAGCTTATGCATCAGGTCTGACTTGCACTCCCTCCCTCCCTCCCTCCAGGAAGCCTTGTAGGATTCCGTGCTGAACCAGGTAGGTGCCCCTCCCCTGTGCCCCCCAGACTCTGTGCCTTGAGGACAGGAACTGTCTTGTGCATCAAGGAAGCCCCAGGATACAGCAGTGCCTGGTGCAGAGTGGGTACCCAAATATTTGTATCCTGAAGAAATGTTTCCAACACACACCCTGCCCCAAATCATCAAATATATCTGGCTTTCAGTTTTCCCTGGGCCAGAATGAGTTATCTTCAAATTTGGTAAAAGGGGTTTCACAACAGCCTAAAAGGACAAAATTAGTAAAAGTGACCGACCAGATGGCACAGGTATAACCCCAGGCTTACACTGAACAAAAGAACAAAATGTGCTAAGGCTCCAGGTGGAGGCTTACCCACTAACAGGACAGAGAAATTTGAGGGCATCTTTTCAAAGGAGACACTCTGAAAAGATGAAAGACACTCATCTTTTCAAAGGAGTCAGCTCTGGGGATGGGCGATGCGGGTGAGGGCAGGGACAGAGGGGCCAGGCCAAGTGTGGACCTCTTCACCTTCAGATAGGTCTTTTAGTAATTCCTCAGCGCATCTGCAGCTGACAGAAAGGGTGTTTTTTTGTTTGAGTGGGGAGAAATCAGAAAAAGGGCACAATTCTTCATCTACCTAAAACTTTGTTGAGTATCAAAATATTTCCATTTTATTTCTGCATCATAAATTTGTAATTTTAACAACTTTGATCATTAGCTAATATAGTAGTAATACAAAAACAAGGGAGAAAAAGATGTTAGTATTCATTTTCATAAAGTGCAGATTTAATTTTAAATTGTCTTAGTAAACATCATTTCAGATGCACCCCTACCCAAGAAGGGAAGGAAAAGCTATTTTTAATTTTTACAAGAATAAATGAAAGATCCAATAAAGACAAGATTTTTTTGCAAACCTTTTTCTGGGTAAGATTTCTAAGGACAACAGTACTGAGTGTAAAATAACCTTTCATAATTAATATGAATACATATAAAATAACCAGTATATAATTTAGACCTCTATGCTTATTTTGCAATTTTTAGGTCTCCAATTATGAGAAAGGTACATAACTGAACAGGAGCAGTTACCTTCATATGTGGCCAAGTTACTTTTACTGAAGCTGTTTGAAGACATTCTCTGGTTTTGGCCCTTGCAAGAAGTTAGTTCTCACACTCCCTTACCAAGTATATCAAGTTGCCGTTTCAGTCACAGACATTTCTATTCAAAATGGGCTGCTTCTTTTACTCTGCCATATAAGCACTGGCAGCTTTTTCAAAATAATATTGCTAGCAACGGCGTTAATTGAAGAGTACTGGTGGCTTAAGTTGGCCAAGTATAAATATGGATTATTAAAGTTGTCTACTCAAGTATAAAATTTATGCAAAACCCTCACATAGGCAAAATGTTCAAAGGCCAAGAAAAAAACTTCTTTTAGAAGAAAGTGCAACTGCAGGGTCTTTTGAATGATCTTCGAGACAGTTCTGCAGAAAATTTAGTTTGGCTCAGAAAGTAGAGTTCCTCATGAGGAATTAAAGTTCTTCCTAGAAGAATACAAAGCAAAATTTCAGGCAGCTTTCTGAAAATAAACGGTTAGTTCGTGGCTACATACTGCGACAAACTGGAAATCATAATAATAAAGGCTTTCGGATTTGCTGTGATTTGCACAAGACCTTGACAGAGCTTTTTCCTCTTACTCCAGGACATCGGGCCATTTTAAAACGTTATCTATGGTAGTTACAGCACTTTGTCCAACATTGATAGTAGGCATGAAACTAATCAGATAGGAGAAAGTCAGAAGTGTTTTCATATGTTTCAGTGCTTTTCAGATCAAATCTCAATACTTTCAAATAAATCATTAAAACATAACATTTTCTTTGTTATTTTCAGTATTTTACATAGTTAATGGATAATCATGGTCAAAGAGCTTTATATCAGTCAGCAGTGATACACATTCGATCACATGTTCAGATTTTCAGCATTTGTTCGGCTGCTGCTAGATGGTAAAGGAAGTTTTCCGTTGCCGGTGGAAATCGTCTTTGCTTTAGTGCCTCAAAATTGAGAACTAACTTTCCTCCGTCACCCGAAACTTCTGAAAATGGTGCCAGGTTGGTGAAGATTTCTCTTGTTTTTAGGGAAATATCCTTTAACAGAACGAAAACATGCAGTTATGTTAGCATCAGAAAATGTGAACAGTTGTTGCATTTGAATGGAATTCTTTCTGCTATTTTTTTTTTAAAGATTTTATTGGGGAATTGAGGAAGGGGAACAGCCAAATTGTTGTCCTTCAATCTTAGTTGTGGAGGGCGCAGCTAGCTAGCTCAGCTCCAAGTCCAGTTGCCATCCAGCCGCCCATCACAGCTCAGTTCGGGCGCAACTCACTGGCCCATGTGGGAATCGAACCAGTGACCCTGTTGCTCAGAGTTTGAGCTCTTAACCAACTGAGCCACTTGGCCAGCCCCCTTCCTGCTATTTTTGAAAGTTTATCATATTAACCTATTAATAAATTAGGAAAAATGAAACAAACTTAAAATAACTTAGAAAAATCAATGTCATGGATAATTTTTTTCTTTTTACCATTTTTAAGTATACACTTCAGTGGCATTAAGTACACTCACAGCGCTGTGTGATAATCACCGCTATCCATTTACAGAACTATCATCATCCCGAACTGAAATTCTGTACCCCTTAAATAATAGCTCTCCACCTCCCTCTCCCCCAGCCCCTGGTAACCACTTTCTGCCTATGAATTTGCCTGTTTTAGGTACCTCATATATGTGCAATCATACAGTCTTTGTCCTTTTGTGTCTGGATTATTTCACTCAGCATGTTTTCAAGGTTCATCCACATTGTAGCACACATTAAAACTTCATTCCTTGTTTTGGCTGAATAATATTCTACCACATGTAAACAACACATTTTGTATATCCACTCATCCACCGATGGACATTTGGGTTTTCACCTTCTGGCTATTGGTAATAGCGCTGCTGTGAACACGGGTGTGCAAACATCTACCTGAGTCCCTGCTTTCAATTATTTTTCATAAATACCCAGAGTAGAATTGCTGGGTCTATGGTGACTCTGTGTAACTTTCTGAGGCACCTTGCTATTGTTTCTAGAACAATCTCTTCCCAAAGTGCTCTTCTGCCTGGGACAACAAACCCAGCACCTGATGCACGGGTTTCTTCCTCTTCACAGACTAACATTGCTTTGGATGGCTGAGGACTCACCAGAGATCACATCAAAAGTCATGTCTTTTTTGTGGTTTGTTGACATCCTTAATCCTTTCAAATATTTTGAATCCCTACCATATGCCAGGCACATTCATCTTACATTTTACTGAGTCATCTGTGTATTACTTTTAGCCCATGAAAAAAGGAATAATTCAAAACTCAAATTTACATATTTCACCAACATTGTAAAGAGTCAGTGTTTTTATACTCTAATGCGGACAGAGGGATGGACAAGCAATGACAATCCACATGTTAGGAAAGGCGAGTCTCGGTGTTCGGGTCCTCAGGATAAGACCCACCCACTCATCCTGGCCACAGCTGGACGGACCACCCGCACTGAACAGAAAGAACAGTACTACTGCTGGCGGGTCCTTGTCAAAACCTGTGACCCCTCTCACATGC